TCAAAAAAAAAAAAAAAAAAAAAAAAAAAGAAAAGCCTAGAAGAGAGAGAGAGAAAGAGTGGGCGAAAGAATGATAAGTTTCATTCGTAAACGTTTTGTTTTGAAAGTAAAATTTCAACCACCAAGCTAAAAAAATTTTAAAAAATATCTTCTTCACAAAAATCCATCAGTTTTTATAAAAAGAGGAGGGGGAATACGAACAATTTCGTAGCATAAAGTCGTGGTGTAACAGTTTTTCAGTTAATCCGAGCAAGCTGTGTTCACAAAGGCAAGCAAATCAATTACAGTGTAAAAACTATTGTAATAACGACATTTACTTTATTGTCATCTGTGGTCATGTAACTTTATTGGCGCAACATATTTTTCATGTTCTCTGATGCGAAAACGTGACTATTATTTTAGAACAAAACAGCGGAACATTTGTCATACTAATATAGTTTCGTTTTCTCTTTAGAATACAGATATTTAAAAATGCGACTTTTTCGAAGACGCTTTCCGCTTTAGAACAGCGTATCATATATGTATACAACTGACGTAGTTTCGTTTTCGTATATATAACTATATTTAATACAATAAACACAAAAATGATTTAAAAAAAAAGATAAACGAAGAAAGTTAAGAAAAATAAGTGCTATTTACTGTTCATAAGCTGCAAGTCTGTAGAACTCATAAAATAAGTTTTTTAAAAAATGGAGAAAACATGGAGAAAAATTTAAAGATTTTTTAAACGGGAAGAAAAAATGTAAAGATTTTTTAAAAGAAATATTTAAAAAAAAAAAAAGAAATTTATTTGAAATATGCCGGTGAGTGTATGTACACTTGAATTTGCTACTCGCTTTAGATATTACATTTAAGATTTATTCTGAATTATCTTGATTTTTTTATTTTATAATTTTTGCTTGATTGTTTTATTTTGCATTTTTTACTTCATTTTACACTTTTTGCTCAATAAGTAGTAGTTTCATTTCAGTTTCTGGTGCTCTTCACTCTATTTTATTCATACATTTTGCATTGGCGATATTAATACAATATTAGATAGCACTTTTTTTCGGATATAATCGTGTGAACTGACGACGAGATTATTAGCTTTTTCTTATTTTGTTTTCGGGCATCTTTTTAAATTTTCAATTTTTTTCAATTTTTTTCTTTTCCTTCAAAAAATCTTAACATCTTTTTCTATGTTTTCTGTATTTTTTTGATCAACATTCCTTTGAACAAATCAAGATATTTTAATTTTCCCGTTTGGATAACTTGGATTTTTCATTCCGTTAAAAAAACGAAGCGGAGAATTTATCATTCTAATGCACTTTCGTTTCGTTAGAAAAATATGTAAATTTTTTTTTTTTTTTTTTAAAGTTCCTTTTTTAGGGTTGTATTCTGACTGATTTTCTGATGTAGTTTTAAAAGTATATATATATTTAAAGTCAAGACTTTGTTGAAGTTTCATTTTGGGTTCAAATTTCATCATTTAAAATTACGTAATTCAAAATGTGTTATTCCCTACAGTTCAAGTTTTTTTTTTCCCTAATTGAAAAATTTTAAATCAAATAATAAAAAAAATTACTGGTTAAATGAGTTATCAAATTGTGTGTAAATATTTTCTGATCAGCTTAAGTTGTCATAGAGACACGCCAAAAAGAGTGAAAAGTAAAATTATCAGTAAGAATTTCGAACTTTCGTGTACTCTCTTTTCCTCACTATTTGGGAATATATTTCCTTAATTGAAGTGGAAAAAAATAAATAAAACTTTCAAATGTTTGTTAAAACTTGTTTTTGAAATAATATATATTTTTTTTCCAGGAAATGAAGAAAAAATTACAACTAAATTTCGGTTACAATATTAGAATGAGAGATTCAACTATTACGTTCTATCGAATGTTTGCAGTAAATTATTTTTTTCCAAGGCAAGTGAGAACATAGAATTTACATATGCACATCAAATATGAAGCATTAAGGCTTATGGACACGGTAATATGAGAGTGCTAAAGTAAATATGAGAGCATAATTATTATTTCTCAAACAATACTATAAAAGCTTTATAGCTACTACGAGACACGGCTAATGTCGAGGCGATAAAGCAAATACAAGAGAAGGCAACTATGAGGAACACGAGAGAAATAAGGCTAGATATATAGCTAAAAGATGGTATTAAAGCTAATATAAGAGTATGAAGGCTAATATGGGAGTATTAAAGTCTAATACGAAAAATTAAAGGTTAATATAAAAGAATTAAAGCTACTACGAGACACGGCTAACACAAAAGACATAAGTCTGGAGACATAGTTAATCGATGGTATTAAGGCTAATATAAGAGTGTGAAGGCTAGTATGAGAATATGAAGGCTAATGTAAGAGAATTAAGGCTGTTTTGAAACACGGCTAACACGAGAGGAATAAGGTTAGCGACATTGTTAATCGATGGTATTAAGGCTAATATATGAGTGTGAAGGCTAATATGGTAGTACTAAGGCTAATACGCGAAATTGAAGGTTAGTATAAGCGCATTAAGGCTACTTTGAGAAAGGGCTAACACGAAAGAAATAAGACTAGCGACATGATTAATCAATGGTATTAAGGCTAATATAAGAGTATGAAGGCAAATATGGGAGTATTAAGGCTAATGGGAGAATATAAAGTTTAATGCAAGAGCATTAAGGCTACTATGATACATAGCTAATATGAAAGCATAAGGGTTAATATACGTCACAGTTTTATTTAGTTTTATAATTTTTTTACAAATTTCATTTTTGAAGTACTCAACATTTCGCATTTATAGACTAGCAAGGCAAAACAAAAACTCTTTGTTTTAACCACGGCTTCGTATGAGCTCCGATTAGCCCAATATTGTTTTTTAAAAAATCTAAAAAAGAAAATGTGATTTTGGTAAGAAGAATAATTGTTTTCTTTATAGGAATCGTTGAAGGAGTTTAAAACATTAACGTCGAATTTTCCAAAAATGAATAATACACATACTTAAATAATTTCATATACTACGGGAGCTGAGCTGCGTAGCCTGGTTGGTAGGACGTTGGGCTCGTGCTCGTCTTCTGGAGGTACTGAATTAGAGATTGATCGTTCTCTGACAAAATTACTTTGAGGCCAAAATTACGTTCTTTAGATGTATGAAAGGAATTTGATTGGATTCTCCTTGTAAAACGAGCAGTGACGTGTGTGTGTGAAGTCGTATTCTTGGCCATAGATAACGCCACTGAAAAAACAAGAAACGCACCCCTCTGCCTTAAAAATTGGCTTGCTTTAAGCAGGCTTGTGGGTATTTGCAAGGGGCATAAGTAAAAACATTATGCTGTTTATAATTAATATATTTTATCATTTCATCTAATTTTGTTACATTTGTATTAAAATGGAAAGTAACAATATCATTCAAATTTAGAGGCTGTAAGCTAAAAGTGGTGTTCCTGCATTATATTACAAAGAATTTCGGTGATATTTCCTTGTTACATATTATTTTGATTAACATATTGAATTACCATTTTACAATCACATTAAATATCAAATAAGTAATAATTTTCAATAAGTTATATTTTTTGTATTAAGCATTGTATAAAACTGGGTACAGTAGACAGATTCAATTTTAATAATTATAATAAGCTAACTATTTAAGAGTGCCAAAAAATGCTGCGAATTATGAGCTTTGATGGCGGGGGGGGGCAGTGGGTATATGTTCTCCTTAATAATTAGAAATCTCAACTAGTCTCCAACAATATTTAAAACAAACAAAGTAAATTTTCGTGAATTATTATCGATTTAAATTCCTTAAAGTTAAAAAAGGGAAAGAAATAAAAATAATTATTATTTTTGTAGAATTTTTTTTTCTTTTGTGAAAAGTTTATAGAACTACTGTGTAATTTAATTTCGTCTCCTTCAAAAATTGGGCTACTACGATGCCCGATCTAAAAATTAAATTTTCTAGCAAATAATTTCTTAGGTGACAAATATAGAAAAATTTTCTTTTTTAGAAACCGATAATTAAATAAGAATATAATATACAAGTTTGTAAATTGAAGTTGCTATGATAACTCAACAAAAAGTTTAGGATTAGATAAGATTTCATTCTAAAGAATCGGGAACTAAATCTGTTTTAATAGAATCAAAGACTTTGGAATCGTTTAGTTCAATTGATTTTAGTTTCGATTTACAAATCTGTTTATTGCCTATAAATAAAAGTGACTGCGAAGAGGGTATACGAATGATAGCGAACGAAACCCCTAGTATTCTAGAAAAACTTACGAAAAATGCAGCAATTTTAAGAAAACTAAGGTGCAGAGTTGAGGGAAAAACATTAAAATTCCATTCGCTTTTAAAAGGTCAATGTCTTTATTATCATAATTCATAAACTGGAAATAACTTGTTTTATATTAATAAAATAGGTCTATCAAATGAATTATCCATTTAAAATAATGGTGAAATGGATTGTAGCTGAAACAAATAAAATATGGAAAAGCAATGTAATAAATTTTAAAATAATACGAATACTATCACTCGTTAAAAAAAACAAAAAACATTTAGAATTTATGATAATTAATTTGAGATAAAACAAATTAAAATAATGACAGCGATGGATAATTTTTATTATTGTTAAGCGAACGGGAGCACGAAAAATTCCTTTTTGTCTTGAAACACCTGGAATTTCGTGAATCAAGTTTTGATACAGAAGAAAAGCGATCATTGAAAATATAGTAGATACGAAGAAAACGTCCTACGCGCTTTTGTTGTATAGCATTTAGGCGGGAATGCCGCGTACTTACGTTTACATCCTTCATTCACGCTGATCCTTCTATTGTTATTACTCCCCCTTACTACAATTCCGATACGTAAAATTATCGCCAATCAATATTTTCAATTTTTTAAGCAATTTATATTGAATGAATGATGAAGATCACAACATTTATGCTGATTTCTCTCGCAATGACCTAAAAATTTAAAATTCAGCGTAGAATTATTTTTGACAAGAAAGTCGCAATAATCGTAATGGCTTGGCGCACTCACAAACTACTGTAGAGTGGGTTAAGCGGCCCTCTCCCCATGTCACAATGTATTCCTACTCGCCAAAACACCACCTCGCGCTGTTGATATGAAAGTGTATACGACTATTTCTATGGAGTTTTTGGATATTGAGGATTTATGGCGTCCAAAATATCTACATTTTGCTGCCTGTTTCTGATATCGTTTCTAATCGTCAGCGGTGAAGGTAGGTTCTTTCTAAATCTACTCTATTTACCGCGCTGGAATGTACATGTAGAAAGATTGAGCTAGGATCCTCGAACCAACGGAAGTGTTTTTGGTCGGTCAACCTATGATGTGCTAACCCCTACCTCACCCCTTCCCCTCTTACACTTCGCAGCAATGGTACCCGTAATTTTGATGGAATGTCCACATACCCCACTGTTAGGGTTTAGCTAACACGCTGTTTTGATTAGCGGGCTCCGGTAATGGTTAAGCTTGACCAAAAAGAATAGTTTGCGCATGAGCTTATGACGTAGATTTTTCTTTGCATTCTCTCCCGTCCCACCTGATCTGCTGTGATGTTTGGGAGCTGGTTTTATTTTTTTTAACCCCTTAATCCCCCCTCCCCCTATTCCGGAGCAGATAACAGTTAAACTATTTACCTTATTTGTTTAATTGCTTGTTAGCGATTGCAAAGAATGATCTCACTGTTATGTTTAAATATGTTTATGCAGCGTGTCAAAATGTTGAGTTGCAATTAATGCTTCGATTTCTTTTGTTGTTTTATCGCTTGCAGTCAGGTTTTGGCTCTTGTGTTGTTTTTGTTTGAAAATTTGACGTATACCGGGTTGTTTTCATCCTTCTATTTTAATTTTATCCCCCGATTTTTATCTTTGTTTACTTTTTGTTCAATTTTAAGCGCCGATTCATATTTTTAGAATGTAAACATTTTGTAAACATCTTTTTATCGTAATCTGAAGTGCTAGTTTCAGTTTCGCTATTAAATCTGTTTATCATTACTAGTTACGCGCGTTAAAGTTTATTTTGAAAAAGACTTTCTTTCAAAACATTTTTTTAATGTTCTCCTCGCTATTTCATAACAATAACATTTTTATATATTTGATTTATTGTTACTCATGTTCTAATAATATAAACTAGCGGGCTTGTATTACATTTTAATCTCCCTTTTTTAATCGAAAATTAAGAAAAGAAATAATCAATTTATTTTTAATTTTTTAATGCTCTTTTTTTCTGTTTTGTTTTTAATTTATTTATGAGATATTTCTCGTTGCCATCTCTACATTCTTTTAATACTTCAAGCATTTCCCCCTCTTGTTTACTTGATGTTCGATTCATCTTCTAACCGGTTTAATATCACGGAGTTCTTTTTCTTCTTCATTTATAATGTTTTTCGAAAATCTTTATTAACTTTATTATTTAAATATCCCAGATAATCTTTGTTGTTATTTATTCTTTCTAAAAGTTGTGATAAAAATTGCTATGAATTCTTCAAAATGTTTTTGTGGGCTGCACTGTTATCTATAAGATTTTTTATTTTGATTATAGTTTTAAACTTTTAAATTTCATTTCAAGTTTTGAACTTGTTCTATTGAAATATAGATTTGTTTTTTTCTTTCTGTATTATAATAATGCTGGTGAAGAAAATGCACTTAAAATTGGTTTCATTTTCTACTTTATTTTTGTATTTATTTATTCTGAATTATAATTAGATTAATAGGCTGCATTTTTCTAAATAGAATTATTGTAGAGTGTATCATTATTTGCTTCTATTTTCAATTTAAACTTTTCTTTTTAAAAGAGGTAGTCACATAATGTAAACAAGTTTTTTTTTTACTCAATTGTACACAGTACCTAGTTTCTAAACGAGTGCTTTACCTCATAACAAGTGCTTTACCTCATTCTTTTTTAATCATCTGAAAACTTTCCCATAAAGAAAGAAAATATAACTATAGTGTGCACAAATTACAATATCTTAAAATATATTAGGATATTAAGCATAAATCATTCAGATTATTAAAAAGAGAAGATGGTACCTACATTAAAAAAATTAAAAACATTTCAGTTGATACGACTTTAAAAGTAATGTGTATTGGGAGGGCAGAATTCTGACTTTTAGTAAAGTCACTGCTTTGTTAATCAGAATACTCTGCATATGTTTCATCAATGCGTATTAGTGCTTATATTTCATTGATAATATTTTTGAAATGTTAATAGTGTTTAATGCTGCTGATGTATACTTCAAATAAAACTGTTGATATAATTTTGTTAAGATAATTTTTTCCCTTTAATCTATTAATAAGCGGTACATTAACAGGGGTCTGTCCAGACCAAATTTACTACCATTTAGCAGTACCTTCACAAATTCAACTTTAGGAAAAATGGTAGCTTCACAAAATACATTTTCTTGAAATTTTATTTTTGTATCCCCCGTAAGAAACGATTAATCCATATTTTTGTGTTGATTTTTAATATAATTTTTAATTTTTCACAAATTATGTCTAAATTTTTACTAAATAGGAGGTACCTCTCAGAAAAACCTAGACAGACCCCTGATTTATATATTTTCACTGATATGCATTGGAAAAAGATTTGGGTAACAAAAAATTTCTATCAGGCATGTACTAAACATTAAACATGCCCAGTGGGACATACGAAATTTGTTGATGTTGTGATAATGTAGTTAATAATTTTTCCTGACAAATTAATAATAGATATGTGCAAAGGTGTGTTTGGATAGATCATTCGCCTTTCTATTAGGTGAACCGGGCTCGAATCTCAGTGATAGCTGGCTGATACAAATTCCGCACTCACCTCACACCGACCATAGTGCTGATATAAAATATCCTCAGTGGTAGATGCGTAGAGTTCACTTGCCGTGAGGCTATAATGCTCTTAGATTTTTGTGGTTTTCCTGTCCATGTAATGCAAATGAGGGTTATTTCTATCGAAAAGTCTTCTAGGAAGGCAAATATCTTCCTATACTTGACCTTTCTTTTCTGGATTGGGTTCAAAACTACTAGGCTACAGAATTGAACATTAGTTCATAATCCCAAAATTGGGTTGGCTGTTCTGAAGTGATTATTAAATACAATAAAATATGCAATAAAAAAATTTAAAAAAAATTTTTCCTTTGGGCATGATATAACATGCTCAGTGAAACATGTAAAATTTTTTTTAGCCCTGGTGGTAGTAAATAGGATTATTTCTGTATCATGATCATCTGTTGCACCAACCACAAGTGTAAAGTCGACAAATAGATTTTGAACTTCAAATTTTTGAAAAAGAAAAATGACGAAGTTTGCCGGGGGGGTGGCTGCGAGTTACACACTTCTTGTTGGTCCCCTTCTGTGATGTTTTTTTGTAACTTCTTGTGGGCCACTGACCAGAATTTTTCAAGCGCATTTTGGCATAGATAACGATACAAAAATCCTTCCTACTAAACTATAATCTAATCCTAACTATGTTGAATTTGACATGATAATTCAGACAAACAAATATTGTTATATTGACTCAATTTTGTTTTGTTAGTTAGCTCTAACTTTGTATGTTTTTTCTTGCTAAAAAATATTGTATAAATCCAAATGTGATTTTTCTTTTGAGCATTTTACTTTGTTTGTTTATCACTGTAATACTTATTCCTTAGGAGAGAGTTTTGTTGACCTTTGTTTCTTAGTGATTTTGTTCGTTGTCTTGCTTTGTTCATTTTTTTTTTGTTCCTGCATAAGAATCAGTTTAATTTTTTTTTATTACTTCATTATCTTGATTGCACATACTGCCAATTATGTTTGGTGCTGTTCTGCTGCTTCTTACTCAATTCTTCATTGTGATTATAAATAATTTGCTGAATGAAATATAGCAAGGATTTTAAAATATTGTTCTAGCAACTCTTATCTTAAATATTATCAGTTATTAGAGTACATGTCTGCAAAAATTTACAATTCTACTATAAATAGTTTTTTCTTTACTTCAAAAAATTTAAAAATCGGTCAAAATAAACTGTTTAACAGTCACTTCATAAGTAATTCAGAAATTTAACTAAATGAGATGTGTTGCTCATTCTTAGACATGGGAATACATGTTCCAAAAAATTCAATTACCTCTCTTGATCAAGGGCACTCTTTCTTAATCAAGTAAATTAATCCGATGAAATATCAGTCCTCAACAAAATGTATTAATTTCTGTGTATTTGCATTAAATAACTGTATATAGCCACATCCGATTCTTGTGGTTTTTAAATTATACAGTCAATTTTTTTTACAGCATAGCCACATCCAGCTTTTGGGTTTTTTAAATTACATTTTCATTTTATTTCAACGTAGGTATATCTGACTCTTGCGGTTTTTTACAATGCATTCCATTCTTTTACAGTACTAACACATTCGGCCCTTATAGCTTTGTAATGCTTTTAATTCTTTTACAGTATAATCAAATCTCCTGCTGGTGTTTTTAAACTATACATAATATTTTTTTTCAAAGCCTAGTCATACTGAGTTTTGTTATTTAAAGATGTATTTAGTTCTTTCACAGCATAGCCTGATATATCTCTTAAATTATTAAATGATACGTTTCATCCGCGCAAAGATTACTCAGTGGTTTAGGCACTGAACTGTCATTGTGAAGGTCCGTGGTTCGATCCCCAGTGTCGGCTTGAAGTCTATCCAACTTCAGATCCATAGGTACCAGCTTGTCTGTGAAGTAAAGACCACTTGAACTCACTGCTGACCATATTGCCATAATCATGCCGCTGGTCACACAATTGTGGAGCTTTAACCTCCGTGACTACCCGGCCCACAATGTGGTGTTGCGGGAATGCTCTGCTTTTACTTTTAATCCAATTTGTAAGTTACAAATCATCATGTTCATGCTTACTGTCATTCATCTGTTTCTCACTTATTAATTTAATGAAATTTCACGGAAGCATATAGGCTTCATTTTTGCGTGTCATTGAACTATACAGTATTTCTTTTTACAGCATAGCCACATACGGTTCTTGTTTTGTTCAATTATTTAATAAATTCTTATGTTAAGCTGCGAATACCGCTTTAGTGCTTACATTAACTCATCTATTTCTCAATTTTCATGAAATTTCCCAGGAACATGCAGAACTTTTTAAGCATTGTCACGTCCAACTTTAGTGTGTTATTAAACTACACATTCATCCCTTTTCCAGTATAACCACATACGGCACACACACCTGTATAAAAATATATATTAAATTTAATT